AAAAAAAAAAAAAAAAAAGAAAAGAGAGAGAAAAACGGGAAGAAGCGTCTCCTTCAGCCGCTCCATTTGTGCACCCTGTTTACATCGGGCGCGTACATCCTGGCCGTAGCTTCATTCTTCGCCCGTCTTTTGATCTTTTCCATTGTTTTTCGTTTAATGTTTTATTCCGTTTCCACGTGTCTCCTTTTGTTTCGTTCCTCGGGCAATTGTTGTTGTTCCACTCGGTTTCCACCTTTCTTCCGTGTCCGCGTTCCGGTTTCCGTTTTCCGCCGCCCCCCCGAACCACCGACCTCTAACCCTTTTCCGTTCTGAGAGCTTTCGTTAATTTCCCCGGCGCGCGTATTTCCAGCCAGACTCGGCCAGAGTCACCCCTCGCAAATCTTATCTCTCCAGTTGTACGTCGACCTTTCGGCCCGAATCCTAATGCATATATGCATGTACACACGCGCGAGGCTCGAAATAAAAGGTTCGCTTCCTGTATCTCTCTCTCTCTCTCTCTCTTCCATGCTTCTCTTTTTTCTTTTCTTTCGCTCTCTTTCGACGTTAAACCCCGTCTCCCGCTTTCCGCCCTTCCGAGTATCATTAACAAGTATCCTGTGAGAATTGATTTTTATCTATCGCCAATGATTTTTTTTTTTGCAACGATGATAATTAACCCATAGGAGGAGGGCGAAAACTTATAATTAGACGATATTAATTGCCCGCTCGGTTTCCCGTTTTGTTTCTTTCCTCTTCTTTTATCTTTTGGCTTTGCTTCTTAGCGGGTGACTCGAACGATTCTTCTCGCGTCTGTTTTAAAGTATTTAACAGCACGGTAGAATGCGAGGACATCGAGATAGAATTGAACCCCGACACGAACCCAAGAACGCAATGTGATCCCGTTTGGCTTCGAAGAAAAATCGCGTTACACCGGCGAAGACTAGAGTTCAAAGCGCGAAAAGCAAAAGCTTTTGCGAGTGACTAGGTGAAATGCACACCTTGCTCGGAGATTTTTCTAAAAATCTCCCAAGATTTCCCTCGCGTAAAACCAATTTCTTTCGTAACTTAAATCATCAAGATCGATCAGTGCCAATTGTAGCTACTAGGTCAGTATATCAAACTTCTTTTAACTCTCAACTGGTGTTGCTGGATATCGGCAACCATAATAATTTAAGGCTTTAAATTATTTAATGTTGGAATTTTTAACTTAAAATCGATAAACTATGCCTCATGTGAATTACAATGACATTATTTGAGAGCCAATACCAAAATCCAATTGTCTAAAATATATATCTATCTGCTAATGATTAAAAAAAAAAAATACTTGCATACCATTGTATTTGTTACAACATTTATATACATGTTATTTTATTAGATCCAAGAGTATGAAATCATCTATGTCGAGCGATAAAAATTTAATGAAATGTAGAAAATGAAAAGTAGAATTCATTATAGATGGTTAAATTTCTGATATAATTGCATTTTATTGTTAAAATTCAAGTAAAATACTCAAAGTTTCAATAATTAAACAAACCAACGATACTATTTGGGAATCGAAAATCAATCTCTTCGCAATACCTGTCTTAAGAATTTGGTTGATTCAGTATCATTTTCACGTGCAAACGTTATTTTCATTTTATCTACGAAGAATTACAAAAGTGATAGTGCGACGTGACGCGAATTGAACGGGTCGTTCGAACTCATTAATTACGATAAAACGGTTTTCCTAATACCTCTAATTGCTGCGAGCACGGAGGAAATTGCGATAGTACAGACAAAAACCAAGATAGCACCGCGTTTTTATCTGTCGAAACCGATAATCCACCGACTCGTATTCGGTCGATAGAGAAACCGCCGGGATTTGATATCGCTTTCCCTCTATACCATCGATCGATTTCCCTCTAAATATTTACACAACGATCAGCGGTAATTGTCAGGAATTATCGTTTCCTCCACGGCTCAAGATCGTACTCCTTACGCAATTCATCCTGTTTCGATTGTAAATCGTGTCCTGGCTGCCTCTGTACTAAGTGAAACTCTATTTAGAATGAAACAAACGTAAGTTCGGTTTTCTTCGATAAATGAACACGACAGGACACTGTTTCTCCTTTCTTTTTTAATGAATTAATTTAAACCTTAAGTCACCCCCAAATTTGCTATCTTAAATTATTCGTAAATTATTTGCTATCTATACTATCTAAATAAAATTACTGTTCCCTTCACTTCGCGTATAGAAATACACGAAAATTAGTAAAATTATATTGAATGGTAAAAATTATTTAAAAATTATCTAGCAGGCAATTCATCAAATTACTATCTTTAATTACTCGTAAACAATTTGTTGTATAAAAAGATGTTTCAAGCAAAGCGTGTTATTGTGTGATATTAAAAAATTGTGTAGTATAATTATTAGTAATTTATTTACTTATTTGAAGAAGTGATAATTAATTTTTTTGTTATTTTGCTCTTTCTCGAGACATTGAGATATCGAATGAATTTCTTAAATTTAATCTCTAATTAATGAGATATTAATTTCCGAGATGTTTCTTTCTCCAAACTGAGAATTTCTTGGAAATTTCTTTTGAATCGTGAGATTGAATGTTACATATTTGTTACCTCGAATTTAAAAGAACTTTGTAACATAAACCTTAGTGACATAAAACTTTTGTTTGAAACATTATTTCATAGAACAAATGATATATTATAAATGATATTAATGTAACAAATGGTAATTACGAGGTAATTGGAGATGACAGAGTTAAGTGATTCACGTTGTATATTTTAATAATACTTATTGAAATATAATATCCGTTTTGGATCGTACAGAACCAAGGAGAACCGCAAATTCAATATAATAGTCAATAAAGAGATGAATTTATCATCCACAGCCAAAAAAACAATTCGTTTTCATTTAAAAGTTTTAAACATAAGGGATAATATTAAAAAAAAATATGCACTTTGAAATATATTGTAAACGAATGAATCGTGACATCTAACAAGACCAATTAAATACAATTTAAGGTAACTCGGATTAAATGTTAATTCGGTTTTGTAAGACAAATTAGGGGAGATTTATTCTTTTCCTTCCTGTGATTCTTTATCTATGGGGATTGATCTAGCTTTCAGCTTATCGCGACTACGTAAAACGGAAATATACGTGACATTAGTGTAGAGAGTTGTACAGATGTGTCGGACCAATTTAAAAATTGTAACGAATTGTAACGAAGAAAATATAATTGTCTTGAATTTATTATTAAGATTTCTATTTGGCTTTTGGTAGTGAAAATAATACCTCTGCTTTATTAATCCCTGTAGCACCGATGGAAAAATAACACTAATAAGCGAAAAGCGCCGAGCCAAAACGAAAGAATTGAGAAAAATATGATAAAAATTCAGTTTCAAATGACAATTTAGCTTGTTTTTAGATTTCATTGTATATTTAATGAGCTTGTCTCGTTTATTTAAATAATAATTACAAAAGAAAGAATATGGCAAGAAATGTTTAAACTTTCACAAAAATTATTGTCTAAGTAATGTATCATGCAATTGCAGTATAATTTTGTAACTAATCGTATTCAAAAGATTGTATATGCATGTATGTATTGATTACATGATATATAACATATATAGTTAGTATGTGTATACTAAATTTATTCCAAATTTTTCTAAACGTTTCTCTTAAACGTTCTAAACATCTGTCGATGTTACGAAAGAAAAAAAAAATAAGAGAAAGATCATAGCCTTTGAAAATCTCACGATGGGGCCTCTTTAAGTATACTTTATGACCTCAACCGTTTACTTACCTCTAGAAGAGCGGTCAACAAGCAAACACCAAACACGGCAACGATTAATCTTCTAGCAGGAAGCATCCTCCTTCGCTTATCGTTCCCTCTCGATACGTTTCACGTTGAAATAGCCGCGACGTTAGCCGGCAGTCGGCTTACAGCATCCCACGCGATTCCTTGCAGGTGCACATCGATCACGAATACCGGCTTGAGAGAGTTTCGTTCTATTTTCGAACGAGACGCTGCAAATCTGATTTCCACGGTCCACGACCCGGATACACAATTATAAAACGTTTTATCGATCGCGATACGATCTGGCTTGCTGTTCGATTCGACTGCCTCGATCGATCGATCGATCGATCGACTCAACTCTGCAAGTGAAGTCAGTTGTCGCAGACGTTTTATGGCGTAAGTTCGGTTACTTAGAACGAGGTTGTTTTTACAAATTTTGTTAATGAGATCGACTTGTGTCTTATTTTTTTTTTTTTTTTTTTAATAAATTAATGAACTTTGCAGTTGCGGAAAGTGAATAAAGCACAGACCTGACTTCCACGGAGGCTGAGCGTGAATTGAGGGAACAGCAACAGTGCAGCTGTATTGTTGAACACGCGCTCGATCACGTGGCTGCCTCCCACCATTGCGTCTCCACATTGCAGGGTAGGGATGCACAACTTAAATGTGCAGTTAAATTATTATTATTATACGTATTTGTAATTACGTAGCATGAAATTAAAAAAATTTTGACCTTTTTCAGAGATATTATCGATGTAATTATTTTTGAGAAGAATGGGACTGATATATCTATGTTAATGAGAAAGAGAGAGAGAGAGAGAGAGAAAGAGAGAGAGAGAGAAGGTAAGCCACGTATTGATAAGTTCCGTGTTCATCACTCGACATAATAAATACAGATAGAGATATTACAAATAATATAAAAGAGATGCCTTGAATTTATAAATAATATCTTCTGTTTCTATGTGAAAAGTTTGATTTTATATTTTCGTATAGAATTATTTTTTGCATTATCAGTCAACTATCTGTGTATATCGCTACTGTTAATTGAACTTGTCAACTATCATCTTTGGACGGTTAGAATGTCCAGCAGATGCGTATTCTATCTTACCTCATGATCTTTCAATAATGATTGCGAATCTTTATTCATGCTTAGTTTTAATGGATTGATATTATTTATATCAAAATAATCTAGGCATCGTTATACTGTAGCGAGTTGTTTACTATAAAGCATATAAAATACTTCAAACTCTATGAACCATATTGAAGTTTCCAACTAAATGAACGTGAAACCAACCTGCACGTTCCACCACCCGGCAAAAACTGCTGGATTTTTGAGAAGGTATTTTGGATATTTGATGCTGCCACGCGCCATACATAACTTTATATCATATATACACATAATCTGTAATGTGTTGTACCTTACTCTGAAAATAATGTAATATTTTCTTAAATTATTCATGAATTTTGCTTTCGTGATTTAGCTTAAATTTTAATAAAAGAATTTCGTTAGAAGCAGAATAAAGCAGAATAAAACTAGCCACGATATAAACATTTTTGTTTTATTCTTTATTTTGTAATGTTATACATTTCTCTACATGCAAAAGTTTTATATTTGATACTGGTATATTGATATATTAATATATTAATTGTATTACAAAATTTGGAAACTTTATTATCCACAATAAATACTCACTGAGTATTAAAAATAAAAAGTGCTCCAAGACTTTTGCGCCAAGAAAGTGCGACAAGAGCGGGAATGTATGCATATGTATATGATTGTGCCATTAATGGTTTTAGACAATATAACATGATTATAAAAATTATAAAGTAAAATGTGAAGCAATCTTTTCTGTTCTCATAAGTTTTGTATTCATGTTTTCATAATCTCCTGCCTGTTTCTGGTAACAGTCTTTGTTCTACACCTGTCGTGTATCATATTAATTAGATAGGAAATAAACTCCTAATTAGAACATTCTTTGACACGAAAACAAAGACGAGATGTCAGCTGGTTAATAGACTCCCCTTTAAACTACCCTTGATTTATTTCATCGACACATGCCGGCTAGGAAACAATGACGGGCTCGCTCGACCGTCTAACAACGAAATATAATCCATAGAAAATATGTAAGCTAGCAAAGTGATATCGGAAGATTGAAAAATCTGTGGAGCCAGATGACGAAATTTGAGAGGGAAATGGGCACGGTCCACGTGAATGATCGAAAGTGAACTCGTTGATTTGTATATCGTCATCTCGAGCAAAGATGATCGCTTACCTCTCAGCTGCGGTAGCAGCTGACAAACCTTCTGCTGTGGCAGCATCGTCGTGAATATCCAGCGGTAGATATTTTCTGGTGGACAGGTGCTTGCAATCTGCTTGCGCGACAGCCGGCGTTCGTGACGATTCTTAGCGTAGCAACGAATGAATCGAATCATTTCGTCTTTGATAAAAGAATGAATTGAGAACTCTTTAAAAGATTTATTGCTATACGAAGAGAGCCAACCAATGTAAATACTTTTCCATGAATGAAAAATAAGACAAAAATGACTTGTAAATTGTTTGCAATAAAAACTGACTTACACTGATTGTATTTAGGCCTTCCTATATTCAAGATTATATGGAATCGATCAAAAGTTAATAAATACTTATATAGGAGAATGAATATAAATAATTAATTAATTAGCAGTTAGATAAAGTAATAAGTAAAAAAGACGAGAGACTGTAAAGCAAAGATTACAAAAGATTCTTCAAATGTTAATTTTACGACCTGAATTGATCCTACAGACCGAATACTTCCCATACATAAATAACGCCTCACCATATTGTACAGTCGCAATATATCGTATTATATCAATTATCCATTGTTCCAGTTATTGTTACACCTCGTTCGAAATATCGTAAAAAATATGAGATAGTCCTCGTAATTGAGAAAATATTTTAATATTTATCTTATAACGAGAAATATAGAAATAAAAGTAGAGTCGTAAAAATTATTATTTGTAGAAACTCATTTTATTCATATTTTGTGAGAAAAATTGACATGTACTTACTATATTATGAATGAAAAATAAGACAAAAATGTTCATATCATGGTTAAATAGAATAGTTTAAAATTGTTATTATGTTTAACTTAAAGAAAAACTCAATTTTAAAAGAAAATTTTTATAGAATAGTTATTTAATACAAGATATTTACAATGTTACGTATTTACAATGTTACAGAGGCGTAACAAGTGTAAATACTTACACTAATTTAGCTTTCATGGCGGAAAGATAAACACGATACTTCTATCTATCGAATATCGAACAAGAAATAATCTCTCTGAAGGAAGCAAGCTAAACAAATCGAAAACGAGAAATCGAATTTGGCCCTTTTTCCTCGTGCACGGTACCGTAAACGATTACATAAATTAACATTTTGATTCGAGGAGCCGTGGGGTCGTTTCAATTTATAATTAAGACCTCGGGCTAATTGCAGGCGAGCGCGGACCAGCTCTGTAGCTGCAATGTCGAATAATTAACGATCCTTCGTATTGCGCCCTCGTGCATTGAACCAGGCTTCTTACCTAGTCAACTCTGCTCGTGTTACAAGCACAGACGAGGTACAGGATAGACGTGACATCCAGTACATTTTTGTCACCATTGATTAACTAGGATAGACTAGGATAGAATGCTTTTTCTTATCCTATTTTTGGAAGTCATCTGAACCTCTTACCATTTTCATATCATAGCATACCATATCGATTTAAACAAGTTTTGCACCACAACAGTAGTAATAGAAATCAGAAAATATGAACAATGTTGTTACATATCCACCGCAAATTATTTATTGAATTGAACGTGAACGTTTTCTTATTCTTAAGAGAGGACCAACTTAATTTTTGACTATAACATATAAATTAGCATTTAGTATATGTCAACAGAGTTATAAGTTAAAAACTAACTATGCAAATGTAGTTTCAGTGTCTGTAAAAAAATATAAAAATTACAGTTAAAGCTAGGGGGCTACTAACGTAGTCACCTCCTCGTGGTTAGACGGCTGGTAAGTGGCATAATTTTCCAAACACTTTTTAATTTTCCAAAAACTGATGTTTATTCATTTTTTTGATTTCTTGTTCCAAAGATTAATATTTGTGAAAATGATACCAAGCTACTGCGATGAACTACTGCGATGCGTGCGGTTTAATTTTAGTTTCGAACATTATAGATTAAGTTAGTTTTAAGCATCGTCGAACAACGGGCGTTTTAGTTTTAAGTTTCACCGATGGACGGTGGAGTGCGTACGTTTTAGTTTTAAGTTTCATTGATGACGTGAGATGCACGCGTTTTAGTTTTCGGACATTGTAAATTGAGTCTTAAGTCTTAGTTTTAAGTCGTGTCTTTGGTTGTAACCCTTAATTTTGAGTCTTAATTTTATGTAAGTCGTGTTTTTAATCGTAAATCTTAGTCGTATGTCGTGTCTTTAATTTTAAGTCCTAGTTCTAAGTCCTAGTTCTAATCTTCAATTTTAGATCTTTAGTTTTCAGTTTCGGTCTTCGGTTTCAACGTTGGACAGCGTCAATCTAAATTCTCAATTTCACTTCGAAGATAGAATTATCGTAGATATTTCACTTCGTTATACAGATGCGATTTATTCAAAGAAATAATTTTTTGCTCTAACTTACTGTTCAAAATTTTCAACGATTCAATTTGATCGATTCCAATTTAATCGATTTTTCTGTCACGTGACACATATTTGTCCTTATCGCACATTATCGCTCTTCTTGAGCAATAATGGCACCTCCTACGGAGGTGCTGCCACCTAGAGTATTAAAAAATGCGCCATATACTGCTATCTATTGGATGGAAATAAATTAAATTAACAATAAGTTCTAACAATATGGGATACATGGCAGCACATGATACATTCCTGTCGAATTGGCATTCGTGCCTCTCTTTGAGAGTCATAGGGGAAGAGGCCCCTCCACATTTACTTTTATCTATCGTTCATCTCTTCTGGAACCCCACTACATCACACGACTTCTCTCTCACACTTCAATTTAATTGCTGCACACTGCTCTTACAGTCACATTTCATATGTGTTAGTTTCACCGATTATAGTGGCAGGCTCGATAAATGAGAGTGGGGATTGTGTAGCGCATGGAAAAGAAAGGAAGAGGGGGAATCGGCTCATCGAAAGTCAGACTCCGTGTGGCTCGTGCAGGGGAAGAAGTTCGACAGGTCTGGATTAGACGATCAAGTTAACACAATTCAGTAAACTAACGAAAATATTGTATTTACAGTACGAAAATATTATATGTACAATATTTAATAATAAACCATAGTGTGAATATATCACGACTAACCGGTTGATAAAGTGTTGATGAGGAAAACAACTGAATTCACTCACAATCGAAAGTTCTGTGTTGTGAAACATTAATCAGTAGCGGTAGATATTGAAATACATTCATCTATGAAGTATTGTGGTACTAGTCAATGATTCTATGTAAAATATATTTTCTGTAAAAGTAAAATATAGATACAGTTTCTCCTGTGTGACAATAGCATGTTACGTGATCGTGACATTGCACATGCGCAAAAATATACATATGATGAAAATAGTGAAATTGCGTATAATGTTAAAACTTAAAAGTATCACAAGTTTAAAAGTGTAATCATAAAAGTATATATAATTACTTTTATGATTACAGTTTGTATGATCATTTGTGATATTTACATAAATTACGTCCTTAAGTGAGGTCACAGACAACTATAAGAATTTTTATTACAAAAATTAAGATATTCAATTTTTCTTTTGTATTTTATATTACTTCTAATAAAGATTAGTAATTGCATTAAATAATATCAAAAGTTTCAGAATTAAACAATAATAGGATTAACGTTATTTTTTTAGTGATAAGGATTAAAAATCAAATAAATGGAAGAAAAAGAAGAAAAGTTTCCTGCTCAATGGGCACTTGATATTCTTGAACCTACACCTGTCGATCAATCAAATAGTATTCTAAAATATTATACAGTACCACCTGCTATGATATGTGGACCACTTGGTGTAACAACTTATAATTATGTTACATCCAAACCCATATTTTGCAGTAAGTTGATAAATTATATTATTTTAGAAATAACTAACCTAGTAATAATTATTATTCAGTTATTTCAAAGACCATTCTCTACTATATTTCGGAATGATAGTAAACAATTTTCATTTGTATATATACATTATACATATTTTTGTTATTACATTTTATTTATTTTGGTATTGTGTCAAAAATGAGATATAAAGACATATTTTAATCAAAACATTTTGATCTTTTTTTTTATATAATTTCTTTTTTATGAACAACCTTGATAATGCAGTATATACTATCTAACATTAGTATCAAGTTGAAATTTTATATAAAAGTTTTGATTATTTATTATATTTATACATTATATTTGTATACATATATACATATAAAAGGTTAAAATGATATTTTTTTAATTCTTAACGTACCATAATAATAAATTGTTTTTATTATTATTTCATGGCTAATTTTTTCCTATATATCATATAGCTAATATTGACGCAGATGATTAATATTAAAGTGTGAATATTCAATTCATAGATAAACTATACATGGTAATATCAGCCATAAGCTTGGGTGTTGCTTCATATTGGTTACAGTGGTCCGCTGAGTTACAATTTGCAAGAAAACATGCAATGATGAGAGATTATATAATGCGTCATCCAGAACATTTTCCTGAACCAGGTATAGTATCATTAATATATTTATTATAAAATATTTGATTTTAAATTAAAGATCACTGTTGATGAGAATGTATATTTAATATTTTAGAAAACAGAAAGTATGCAGATATCTTGAGACCATGGTGTCCAATCCGTTAAAGGATTGAAATCTGCTTACAAAATAGTTAATTTATATTGTTAAAGAATAAAGAATAAAATACATGATGTATCACATATCATATTTACTTTTCTTTTATGTTTACTTTAATCATACAAAATTTATTACGAAATGTTATTGCATGAATTTTTTTAAACTATAAAAAGTAGTGAACAAACTTTTTTTTCTATTTGTAACTTAATTTATGATTTTTACAGACAAGAGTCTTCTAAATGACAATAAACAAATAAGTATCATCATTAAAATGAAATATAATTTTTATTTTAATAAAAATTTACAGCTCTTTTATACTTTATGCAAGGCAAAACAAATTTAATATATTCAATAAAGTATTACTTATAGTTAAACAGAGTAAAAAAAAATGAAACGCAGACTTGTGTTACATGCAATTTGTATATTAAAAATAAACACATAAATGAAAACAGAAATAAATTACATATTGTATAAAAATTTAATTGAAATTAATGAAATAGCTTTATAATTTGAAAAATTATTTAATTTGCAGTTCTATCATATATTTATTTTATAAATACATTTTATTATTATTATTATTAATATTCTCGAATTTTGTGAAAACTTATATTATTTATTTTGCTCTTAATATATTTTTCATTTTGATGAATATATTATCTTGAACTGCATTCAAGTTAAAAAAATTTATATTTATTATACATGTTATTTATATAAACAACAACAAAAAGAATTAATTGAATTCTTTCTAATTATCATTCTAAGTTTAAACACTTTTATTTCTTTTCAGGATTATAATTATCATTATATAGTCCAGTTCCTTTTGAATCTCCTAACCAGGGATACTTATTAGGACACTCCCTGCATGTTTCTAAATACCTATGAATATATTTGTTATTATTTTATGTTTCAAAGTGTTAGATATATCTTCAAGGTAAATTTATTATGCGTTGTTCATCTATATAGCTATATAGATATTTACCTTGTTGTAGTAAAATTCGATTCCGTAGGTTTGAAGTCTAAAGCACATTTATTTGGATTATTACATGGTGGCTCAGGAAGATTTTCTTTCTTTTTACAAGACCACCCTTCAAAATTATTCAGAGATTTTATTGGTTTTGGATCAGTTATCCATGTAAGTGCTTGAGTAGCTGTTACGAAATATACATCAGGTCTGCAAATATAATTATTTTAATAGTTTACAAAAGTGATATGGAATGTAAAAATTCATATGATGCATAGACTATTTCTTGTTTACAATGTTACTGCCCAATCAAGAAATTTTGACAATCCACGTTCAAGTTCTTTTATTTGGAACCAGTTAGTATGAAAAGGCATCATATATGGTGCTCTGTTTTGCTCATAGTAACGGTTAAAATCTTCTTGCAACCATTCAAAAACTTCTTCAGGGTCATGATTATGAAGGACACATTGATCCAAGTAAGGACAATGTCCTCCTTCGTAGCTTTCAACATAATGTGCATTCAATGGTAATTCCCATACTCCTAAAAACAAACAGAATATTTTTTTTCTTTTACAGTTCATACCTTATATTTTACATGATAACATACATAAAATACTCTATTACCTGGAAATGATTTAGTAGGACATGTGCCTGCTTTACATTCATGTGGAATTTTATAATCAAGAGTATATGGCCAAATTGGTACTTTTAATGGAGAAATTCCAATACTGCTATCATATATGTATCCAAAATCTTCCAGTACTTTGTACTGAGTATTTCGACCTGGTTTTAGATATGGAGCTCTCATGCCCACAATTTCACTTATTGAGATATTACTAAAGTGTTTAAGTATTTCTCGCATTCCTATCATTTCTCCAACCCATTCTTCATATCCTTTATCTTCTAGTCCTTTCTGTAATCTAAATAACAGATCATATACATAAGTATCAATTTACTCTAAAAATTTTTTTTTATAATTTTTTAAAAAATAATTTAATAGTTTTGATTTGTTAACTTGAAGAAACATTGTATAAGGATTGTCTTTTAAGTGAAAAAATTAGAAATACTTACGATATAGTTTCAGTAGCAATTTCATGTCCATCGTGTGCTAAACTTTGCACCATATTATAATTACAATATTCATGAGAAATAAAGAATGTGCCTTTCAAAGGACAGTTATTTGGATTTAATCGATCAGTGGCAAATATTTTTTGATAATGATCAAAGTTATTGTGATTTATTGCTCCATCAAATGTCATTATTATCATTTGTGGTGTCTGAAATTTAGGAAAACTATGTGAAAGATATTGTTAAAAGTAATTTTTGTGAGTGTTTATGTGCGTATGTATGACAAAAGAAAAATATATACTTCTTCTGGATGGAGACCACCAGGAATTATTGTACCATCTCTTGAACAGAAACAATAAGGTAACTGACAGTTAGCAAAGTCACATTTTTCTGCTAAATCAGTTGGTGGTTCAGTAATAGGTGGTGGAGCTATAAAATATAAATATAAAATTAATAAAAAATATAATTTAATTTATTGTTATTAAAAATAAAATACTCACTTGTGGCAATAGGTCCACAACGTGCTTCATTCTTAAAAGTACAAAATTTACTAATATCGTCAAAATGTAGTCCTGATGGACACCTATTTAAATATGGATAGCCGTCGACACACTGTTGAAATCATATATAAAAATGAAAATTGTTTGTATCACATTTTATTATTAACAACATATATTTATTATTAAATTATTAAATTTCAATGTAAAATACCTGGTAAAATCTTCTACATGTAGCTGGGTCTGCAAAATTGCCATTACCTTGACCTTCAGGGCATTTGAATTCTTCATCTTTTCTTTCTTCCTCTTTTTTAGCATTTTTCTGCCCGTGAACTATAAAATGAAAAGATTAAAATAATTAGACATATAAAAATATAGAAAAAAATTAATATTTTTGAAATTGAAAGAATTAAAATCTCGATTGATCAAAATACATCAGTGCATTTATCTTTTCAAAATTATTTATGATTATTCGCTTTATTCTAAGAATTTCTCTTTATTAGAAAAATTTACCTGTAATAAATAATAAATATACATTTACTACTTCGTAAGGTTCAATATTAATAAATTAAATGGTTTATAATTTTATGTAAGATAAACGAAAATTTAAAAATTTCAGAGATACTTTTCATAAAGATGTCCATTATGTAATGCTCCACGTGAAATATAGTCAATTCTATCTGAAATATTTTTTCAAACGAACAATTTAAGAAATATACATGTGGAGTATAAGCAAAGCCAGAAAGAGAAATACATATTTTCAAGAAAATAAAGATATTAAACTAAATGAAGATATTAAATTGTAAGTATATATGTTACTTATATTACATTACGTGTGCCAGTGGCAAGATCAAGGTTTAACACTGACTTACACGCATTGGTAACAATATATCGCAAATCTTAAAATTTTCAAAATGATAATCATCTTATATAATATAAAGTATTTATTCTTTATCAGTGTAACAAAATTTCATATGTTTTCTAATGCATTTTTTGCGCTGAATAAATATTCAACTTCTTTCATTTAAATACATATCACTTCAAGGATATCAAGAATAGCAATCGGAATTCTTTCTCCATTTGATGATGTGTTAAATGGTTGTTCTAAAATATACAAACTATAGCCTTTGGATAGGATTTTATTGAAATATTTTTTATACGAAATACAGACAGAAAAAAAGTTGAACCTACTAATTTTAATAATAATTTTAATTTTATTATCTCTAGAAAGCATTTTCGAATTTGTAATTTTTTCGAGATTTGTTAATCTAAAATACGTCGCAAAGTTTATCTTTTATCTTACAATAAAAATTCAAGAAAAATTCTCATTTATACTGAAAACGTGAATTGTGCAACTCAGAAAGTCGGATTCAAAGTGAAAGAAAAAGTACACACGCGGCCATGATTGAACCAACAAACGTGGAAATCACGCATAACTGGACATTTAATTCGACGAGAGAAGATTCGGACTCGAACACGTTGAAATCTTGTACAGATAGATTGTCAGGAGAAAGTGGTATTCCAGGAAGATACGTACTTCGCTACAATTTTATAATACCTGTAACCGTGAAACACGCATTGTTTCGTTTACAATATAAAAAATTTTTAAAACAATTTCATAGCAACAAGGTTTGACCATACAAAGTACCATTTAAAAAACGCAAAATGATTTCGATTTTTTACGAATATAAAATACTATTTCATATCGTACTAGATTTTTCATTTACTACTAATAAACTTTCGTTTGAAATATTTTCGTATAATTCGTATTAATTAAACACACGTACAAGAATTTATTAATCGGTAGAGTTGTTTGTTATTGGAGCAAGTCTCGCATGTGCACATATGCCAAAAAGATCGGTTTAGCAGCGAAGTGAAAAGTGAAGGTACTGCTCTGGCAATGACGTTGTGGTAAATCGTTCAGGTGCAACATTTCCATGGTACACGCATTCAGACTTGAGCATACGATACACCATATACGTAAACATCGAAACTTATGTAAACAGCAGTGAAACCACCGACCAGGAACCTCATTTAACGGCGCTTCTCTCGTATCGGCATGTCGGCTGGTTCTTCGCTTCCTCCGACTCCTTACTTTTTATCCGTGTCAACTTTACTTACGACACGCACTATAACAATGCAAGGAACTTCCAACGTTTCATGGAAGAATCTTGTTTATCGTGGAGATCTTTATTTTCACAGTGGACGCGCGTTTCACGAATTCTTAAAAGAAAACTCTTCTAAATTCTCTGGCGGGCAAATTCAATATTTTACCATTTTTAATGTGTATGTATGTATTGTAAAATTTTAGTTCATTTTCTACGAATTAATAAAAAAAAAAAATCGAAGTATTTAACGTAGTGATGTATTATCGTGCACAGTATTCCAGAACTTCTAACGAAATTTTATGGTGTAGTGTATATTTTTAATCTTTTGTTGGGGCAATTTTAAAAAATTCTGAGGTACCAGATGTAATAAGAAATCATTGAAATTTCTATTAGATCACAGTCTGTCGATGGTTGATCCTTGAATATACAGTATTTTCATGTGTAATTTTATTCGATTTATTGATCTTAAGTATTGCATTAGAGGTACAATTTATTAACAACAAGATATTGTTTGAGTCAATGGGTCAAGGCACATCCTTTGATGTTTCTTGCATTCGATTAGCAGAAGAATTAATCGATCAGCTTGCAATGTTATATCACGATCTACTTATTTTCTTAATTAACATACTGTTAAATAATTATTAAAGAAAGAGGGGGAGAGAAAGAGAATTGCAACTTTCATTCAATAAGGTTATTTACGGAGCAGTTGCAAATTATTGAGAGAATGTCCACAGAAGGTCATTCTTCCACCTACATTTCTAATAAATCTAAACTGCTATTTGATTGATTATATCTAAGTGCAAAGTATTTAATAGAGTTGACGACGAACAAAATAATAAAAATCTTAAATTATTACCATATTTTTCAACACAAAAGAAAAAGAATTAAAAGATGTATATAGATAATCAAAGCTTCAACTCGGAAAGAACATTTCATTTATCAACTGAAGAGCTAAACGAACATAAAAAAACTTACTGTCAGATAAAAATAGAATCAAGCCTTTTCCATAAAATCGATCATAACTCAAAAAGATCCATCTAAATATCTGCTTAACGAGTAAAAACATGTGCTATTTACGAGTGACGAGTAACTTTCTACGTTGAATAATCGTAAACGACAAATTTCGAAATTTCATCAAATTTCTCTGTAAACGTTGAAAGATAGCGATGGAGAAGCCAGGAGGAGGAGGAGCCAGGAGTTTTACATCGCCCAACGGGTTTGATCTCTCTTCAGAATGAGCAGCTGTGTCTTCCTACCTGCGACAACGATGAACACGACGACACACAGCAGCAATCGACTCCTTTCCGACGTCATCCTTCACGAAAAATCGTTTTTTCTAATTCCCGTTACAATTTGATTAAATTTACACAGCATTTACACCCGTAAAGGTAAATGTACAAAGATAATCTTCAGTTTGTTGGCTCGTGATGCACGAACATACTCGTAGTCAACGAATCACTGAAAGAAAGAAGTGTCACGGTACTGTTAGCCAAGGTTTACCAGCAATGGTGTCTGCCATGGACTACAGGAGTTGGGAACTGAACGGTAGGAACCATTCTTAGCTCATTGGCTGACCACTTTCTACCACCATCTCGATCGCCCGAGAAATCTTCACTTTTATTCGCATTAGAGCCGAGACAGTGGTTCCGCGTAAATCCTGCTGAAAGCCTGAATTTTTGACGACATTCAGGAATTTTTCGAACAATTCCTGATTTCACGATAAAGGCGAAGTTCCTTCGTTTCTTGTCTCCCTCGTTTTTTAAAAATAATTTATTAGTTTTTTCAGTGTAGACCATTCAGTAATAAAATTGAAGATTTAAAGGATTGCCAAACTGGTTTATATTTTCACAGAATCTTTGTATAATTTGTTCTCTTATTCCTGAAAAATAAAATTTTAATTTAATCCAAACTATCAATTGTTTATGTTAAAAGATAGAATAAAGATATAAAAGAACATTCATATTTATTAAGAATAATCATTATATATATTAATGTCAATTTCTATGCATATATGCATGCATAGAAAAATATGTTATACTATTTCATTATTTAAAATTATCTAATATTGAAACTCAATTAGATACCTCTAAGATATATAGAAATATATTTCATTAATGTACGTACACGTATGAAAAGCATAAAAATATTCAGAATTCAATCTTGACCATTTGTGGTTTCCTCTTTTGTTTTTCTTTCTTTGCCGAGTTCTTTTTTGTTGTTTTTTCATTATCTCTTCTTTGAGACTCGGTAGGTTGCCAATAAGGATTGAAATATCCCTCTTCGCGTTTTATGATGTTTAATTCCTGAGATGCTAAATGAATTTTAGTAACAGTTTCCGAGTCTAACAGATATTTTGCTCGATAAGTAAAATTGAACGACCAATTTATGATCGGATTCCATTTTTGTTGCGTCTTAAGTACACGATGAACAATATGAGGAAAATGAAGAAGAATGTCTCCAAAGAATGCCGTGTTTTCTAACGTAGTAGATATTGCTTGGAACAAAATATATGATTTATAAGAACTTGCTTAAAAAAAAAAAGAAAAGGAAAATTATATTAATAATAAAACAATTACCACTTTGTACGGTAACATTCTGTGGCAACGATCTATTATCTGGATTGAAACCTCCACTTTCGATTAATGATTTACTTGTCTCGATCACATCAATCATTTTTTCACCAAGGACTATAATCATCTTATACAAACGTTCGTAGCTATCTATTTTTTGAAGACGTTTAATCGCTTCGGTATGTTCCTTGCGTTGATGTTCAAATGATTTTTTGACTAATAACATTTCGGTTAAGATGAGTCACAGAATAATATATAAATAATGATTGATACAGTATTATCTATATAATATCAATTAATATAAATAAATATTAATATTAATTTCTTCAGCGCCTATTTTATATGTTGTATATTCAAATAGATATAAAACCAGCAACATATCATATACTCAAAAGGATACAATTGCTTTTTTTTAATTTAATTTATAGTTATATTTCGAATGGATACATAATTCTTCGTAGACTTGAATTTTAAATGAATCATTATTTCGCGGCTTCTCGTTGATTTGATAATTTTCGACGGTCGGAGAAATATACTGTCCATGCGCAGTACATGTCAACATTGACACGATTACAATATAAAACAGAACGCGTGGCATTTTGTCGGGCGAAAACCTATTTAAAATATAAAATAATGTGCTGATAAAACACTCGTATAGAGAAGAGTCGTTAAGTATCCACGATCTTTATGCTTTTCCAGGAAAAATTGTACGATTTTAACCAACATTCAATCGACAAAGTGAAGCTACAAGTTTACAAACGCGACATAACAATAATACTGCCATCTACTAACTTTCGTATATCGAATGCATCAACGTTAGTGTCAATTTCCTTCACGAATGATTAAAAGATTCGCAGTTGCATTGTACTCACGTGAACAATTTATATCATGACGCGTATATATCTTTTTAGAATCTTTTACTAACACTGTTCATGAGAAGTGTTAAATCGCATTGGGAGATCTTTCTGCACGTACAACAGCAGATCACTTAAATTATTAAAATAACATTAGACAAAGATTTTCATGTTACGTGTATGTGACATGACAATTTGATATGATATGAAGATATTTTCATTTAAAATCCTGATTTAATGATTTCATAATTCAAGTTTAATGTCTACAACAAATATGGCAGCGACAGATGATGCAAAATTTGATGTATGTAATTATGTTAAAAATGTTTTTATTTACATTTATTTATTTATTTTTTAATTTACATAGTAATATCTTTTCAGTAAAAGTTAATAAGTAAAATAATAACATATAAACGTTTTTATGATAAATGTAATATAATATTAATCTCAAATTTGTATTTATAGTTCAAAGTTACGATGGAATATGCTGACCCTCAGAATATTGAAGGTGAGCTGACAGTGGGAGGCAAACAAAAATCAAATCTTGGAGAACCTGAATTTAATACTTTGGATGAACCAATCAGAGATACGATTGTGAGTTTATAAATATTTTGTATATAAAAATATTGGGTATGTTTAAAAACATTATATTACTATATTATTATATTTTATATTATAGCTCAGGGATGTACGAGCAGTGGGCAAAAAATTTTATCATGTTTTATATCCAAAAGAAAAGAAGAGCTTATTAAAGGAGTGTATGTTACTAAGATACCTTAATATTATAAATTATAAATTATACTCATAATTTATATTTTCAATACCAAAAATATCTTTAATTCTAGGGGATCTATGGGGACCACTAGTATTATGTACATTCATGGCAATGTAAATTTAATATTTTCCACAATATTTCAAATGCTGTTTACCTTATAATTATGGTTATAAATATTTTGTTGTTATTTCAGGATATTACAAGGTTCTTCTGATACAGCGAATAATTTTAATGATGGGGGACCAGAGTTTGCAGAAGTTTTTGTTATTGTATGGATTGGATCTATGGTTGTTACTTTGAACTCCAAATTATTAGGTGGCAACATGTAAGTAGTTGGCAGAAAAATTTAATATTTAATCCTAGTATCGAAAATTATAGCGGTATGCTGCATGATTTTTATGTATGTAAACTTATCATCAAAAAACTTTAGTAACTAATTATTATAAATTTTTTATAAATCTAAAATATAAGAAATAAATGATACAAGAATTTTGCATTTTATTTGTTATATTTAAAAGATAATATGTTTGTTGTAGATCTTTCTTCCAAAGTATTTGTGTCTTAGGATATTGCTTGTTGCCAACTGCCATTGCTCTAATTTTATGCAGAATCATATTAATGGCAGAACAGACTACTTTCTTATTTAGTTTAAGATTTATTATTACTATGATTGGATTCATATGGGCAACATATGGTTAGTATAACTTTGATGAGTTTTACATTAGATACTTGTACATCAAACTTTTTCCTGCAAATATGATTTGTATACATTTTAGCATCAATGGCATTTCTCGGTGACAGTCAACCAGTAGGGAGGAAAGCTTTAGCTGTGTATCCAATATTTTTATTCTATTTTGTAATTTCCTGGTTGGTTATATCTCATACCACATAAGACAGAATGTAAGTTGATTATAATAAGAAGACTGTACATTGTTCCATATTTGTGCACAAAGTAAAGCTGAAATTGCAAATTGAGCAAAACATTGCTTACATTGTACTTTGAAATTCATTAAATTTAAGCATATGTCACGAGTCAGAAATTGTAGATAAAATTTATTGCTGTAGATGCGTATGTTATTTATTATACATTTTAGAAAATCATAACTTTATATGTCAATTATAATTCTACATACATAAACATAAAATAATGAATAATAATTAAGTAAATTATTACCAGATTGTTATATATTTATACGTAAGCTCGATAAACAAAAATAGTTTACAATGGAAGAAAATAATTTTTACTTCATTCATTTGAAACTCAAAATCGTCATTCAATGTGTATAATGTACAGTTTCAAAAAATATAATCATTGTCAACTGCTTTTATCATAAACAAACATTCCTATTAAAATATTCATTTACTTCTTAGTCATTTAATAGTATTATAGAAATGAAATACAGTATCAAATCATATGATTTGTATTTTTTACATATACATATTATATAAATAATGTTAGTTGTAAAATTAAAATCAAACATTAATAAAATAATACATTTTACATGATATAAATAAATTCTGTATTTTTCTATTCACATGTATGTAAAATATCTCTCTAACTTATTTAGTAGAGTTTTACTATCAGCATGATTAGGATATGTACTTAGTGACTTTTGTACAGCAATATAACTTGTTTGAAGATCTCCAACCTACGACATTTTTTAAAGTAATACAAATGATATAACTCTATGCAGAAACATAATATAACATATAATTATAATACCTTATAAGCTAAATAAGCACTATTAAAATGAGGCTCATAAAGAAAGTTAGCAATGTTGGCAGCAGCATGAAAATATGTTCTCGCCGCAGTAATGTTTCCATTTCGAATTTGTATAACTCCAAGATTATTATATGCTAAAGCATATCTATTATCACTAACAATAGCTAATTTTAAACATTCTTCCGCCATTGTTATATCACCTATAGTCTAAATAATTGGTAATAAATAGTAAAATTTGCATATATATAGTAAAATTTTTATTAAAAAAATAATTTCAATTATTGTTAAAAACTTAGACATTAAAAGAAACTGTATACATACAAGGGCAATGTGTGAAATGTTATACCATATGTCTGCCATAGTTTCATCAGTAGAAAGACTAATTGCTCTTTCAAAACAAGATATGACATGATCATATTGCTGAGCATAAAAGCAACATAAACCAAGATTATTAAATAATTCGGCATTATATACCCCCATTTGTAACAATCGTCTATTCAAAAAACTTAAGTTATATTTTCAGTTTCTATTTATTTAGATTTGTACTTACCTGTAATATCGTAAAGCTAATTCGGGTTGATCATTGTAAAAATGTTGTATTCCGATACTTGCTATTGCTTCTGTATGAGAAGCATCTTCTTGAGCAATTATTTTGTAGTACTTTAACGACATACTCATATTATTCAAACTATCGAATATACGTCCCATTTCCGTAAGAATATTCACATCATTAGAAAAATACTCAAGACCTTTTTTACATGTTTCTAAAGCTGTTAATGGTTGATCAAGTCTAACATAAACTCTAACTAGTCTCAGGATCACTTCAATAGTTTTAGAATCTTTTAATGCTGATTTAAATTGTTGTTCCGCATCTCTGATTAACCCTAAACTATAATAACATTTTCCAAGTTGTACTTTCCACCACCAATCTTTATACTGACAAACTTGTGTTGCTTGGACTGCTAAATCTAGTGCCTATGTATTATAATAATTAATAGAATTATAGTAAAAGTATTATAATATTAATATTTTATAATTAATATGTTATAATATTAATATTTCTAATCATCTACAAATATTGAATATATTAATATGTTAAAATATTAATATTTCTAATCATCTACAAATATTGAATAATATATGTATGTTTACTTACGTATCTTACATCATGTTCATGATAATATATATACTCAAATAATGGTTTTGCAATACATGATTGGCTAGCATATTTAGAAATATTTAATCGTGATAATTGTATAAAAGGTCCTCCTGGCTCTGTTAACATGGATGCTGTGCCTAATCTATGTTTTAATTTTGAATGAGTAATAATTGAACATTTTAATTACAATTGTGTTACAAAGTATAAAACCTAATATAGTATATTAAACCTAATAGTTATACCTAACACTACGACTAGAACTTGCAGTAATTGGTCTAGCTGTCATAGCAGTTCTTGGTGTTTTTAAAGTTTGCTCAATTGATTGAGACATAGCAGATTGAGTAGCTGGTCGTACAACACCAGTAAGTGGTCTACCTTTAAAACATATTAAATTTTAATCTTCATTTTATATTTGATTGCTTTAAATTATTCAAACCTGATTGAGTTTTAGGTCGAAGATATTGTCCAGTGAAAGAAGTACCAGGGTTTTTTAAAGATGTTCCTGGTCTAGGCATAGAAGATATTGTATAATTATCTAATAAACTTTCAGCAATTCCTTCTTCTTCTCCTTCTATATCATCTACATATATTTGTAATGTCAAGGCACGCATTTTTAAAACCCATACAGTCTATATAATGAAAAAACATATTTCTATAGAAATGTAAATTGTTATTTCAAATTTATATTAAACTTGTACCTGATCAAGAGGATTTTTTTTTAGTAAATTTGTACATATTGTTGTACAGTCTTCATATTTTCCTTGATTGAATAAGTTTAGAGCTTTAAATAACTCCATAATTTAATAAAAAGCTTAATAAACTTTTTCATTTAGAAGAGAAATTTATAATAAATTTTATCAAACTGTATTATTGTACTTAACATATCTTGCTATATAATGGAAATATGCAAAATTTACATGCATGAAGATATTGATTAACCTGCTTATAACCTTAGGTACACATAGACACATACATGAGTATAGATTAGGGAATAAAACATATACTTCTATATTTTGTGAAAAATTACATAGAATTCATAGTAAATTTTATAGGAAACGGTTAATTATTTAATAGTTAATTATCATAAACTAGGTCTATAATATCATTCCTCATATAGTTAAATATCTTTTATTCTATTTATTCATATTAACAAAATATTATTGCTTGAAACAATCTAATTTTTACATAAATGAAAAATACTTTAAAAATAACAAAGTACTATCTTATACATTTAGTTTGTTTTGTACATGTCAAAAATTGACAAAGGAAATTTATTTTTATATGATTTTTATTTATACTGTACATATCTTGTAATTGATATTATAATTCATATTGTAATTTAAATAATTATGAAAATGGAATATTTTCGTAACAATGATAACAAGTTAGTGTATATTCAAAATATTTTACAAAATTAATTTCTTGTTGTATTATATTATGTACGTGTTCATTCTTTCTCATTCAGCATCCAACAAGCTTTTGATGAGTTTTTTAAAACAAAAAGTATACAGGAACAATGCACAGAAGAATCCTTCAAGCAACTGCATGAAGCATTTTTGGTACTTGCGAGTTTGAAAAAGAATTAAAATATTTTCTAAAAAATTTTAAACAAAATATTATAAATTTGATATCTTTATCTCTCGCATATACACTTCAATAATTAATATAATAATTTTTATTTTCCATAGATTTTACCAAATGAAGAGATGGATATAACCCAATTATACGATGCATTTGAAAATATATTGCACATACGAATGCCGTATGATGAATTTAAAATTTTATTTACAAAAGTAATATTGTAGATTTATTATTCTATTTTTACGTATTATATACTTTTTATTATATAAAATTTCTTTCTATTTATTAATTTTAGATGAATTTAAAGAGAGACGGAAATATTACATGGAATGAATTTATTTCGTATTTATTAGTAGAATTTCAAAAGAAAGATACTACATTACAATGGCAAATATTGAGACTTCCAATAATTGATACTCCTCAACTTTTGAAATCAAATCATCGTACAGCTATACACAAGATCATATTTTGCCCTGAAATTTTACCTGTACATGATATATGCAATTTTTGATAAATATATTTGATATATATACACATTGCTAATTATAATCTTTTATGTATCGATAGGATAGAACTGCGAGTTTTCACAGAGGATTTTATTTAACTATAACTAAAGAAGGTATCATAAATTACTGGACTTTGGATTTAAAATACGAACGTAGTGCACAATCTGTAAATCGTTAGTAATTTTATATTTTATAATGTTCTGTAATATTTGCATTTATTTTCGAAATTTCTATCTTTTCAGCATATTTAAAAGTACAACAGACTTTAATAACCGATATGATAGTATTGCCCGATATACAAGTAGTATGCACAAGTTCTACTGAATGTGATCTAAGATTTTATGATACAGCAGCAAAGAAATTTGATCTTCGAATAATGGTTATATTTCTTAAATAGACGTTATTATTTATTTAAATAAACTCTTCAGTGTTAAAATCTTGTACAATTAGATATCTGGCTTGGACAATGCAGTCATTTGTATGGATTATTATTTTAGTAAAAATATTAAAGAAGACTCGTATATTGTGCTTGGAGATATGAATGGATCCGTCAAAGTCATGTCTTTTAGTCCAATACAAAGAGGACCATTTAAACAAGAACCTCAACGTGATACTTTATTTATTCGTTATGAATCTGTCTTGAAGGCAAATAATTTATCTTTGAAAGCTTGTAATTTAGAAAATTAATATAGAATACGTATACACAAGAATAAGAAATTATAGATACTTGATAATTCCGATACTTTTAAGTCGTGAAATTTGAGAATTTCGAAATATTTTTGGAATTCAGATTTTCATATGCTATACTATCTAAGACAAATAGATAGTATAAATTTGTAATATGTATTATAGGGTGAACTAAAAGGTTTAAAGATTCTAGAATTTAAGAATGTACATACAGACTGGGTGATACAAGTAGCTTATTACGGAAGTTTAAGAGCTTTTATGTCCAGCAGTAAATGCAGTAGTTGTTCCTTATTATTCAGTGATCTCACAGGAGCTAGGATTCAATACAAATTTAAAGTTAACATGGGTATATCCTGTTTCACATTTTGTGAAGGTATTTTATTAGAAAATTTTATTCACTTTTTTACATATATACATGTACATCGTACCTTTTAAATGTATAATTATATAGAGGGTCAATTATTAATAACTGGTGGACCAGATTGTGTAGTTCGAGTTTGGAACCCTTTCGTGACCAGAAGACCAAATAGTACTTTTCAAGGACATCGCGCGCCTATTTGCGCTTTAATTGTACAAGATGCTGGTAAACGCGTGTACTCTCTTTCAAAAGATAGATGTATCAAAGTGTGGGATGTATTAGTTCAATCTTGTGTTCAGGTTTTAATAATAACATACTTTATTAAAAAGTATTTTTCTTAATTAATATATTTCACTTATAAAAATAAAATAGCATTAATTAAATGGTAATATAAATGTGTGGTATGTAATTCGAATTTAAGTTTGTTTTATACAGACGTACAATGGCCTTCCTAGTGAATTAGGTGAATATATATCAATGTCTGTAGTATATAATACATTGAATCGCAAAATGATTATTGCCAGTTCAATGATTGCTGTGATCGTTTGCGATCCTGAAGTCAACAAAGAAATATCTGACGGTTTTACCCATACAAAACCTATCAGCTGTGTTTTGTATAATCATCTCTACAAAGTGGTAGTAATGCTTTATATAATTTTTATTTTCTGCGTTAGAAAATCCAAATATTTTATCGGATTGTCTACGAATTTAGGTAGTTACAATCGGATTAGATTCTTGTATAATAGTTTGGGATCCATGGCTTGGAAATCGTTTGTTCTTAGTAACACATGCGCACAGTAGATTCTTATATGGTCAGTTTCATGACATTGAAATCACTGCTGCTTGTTTCGATGAATCTGAACAATTATTAGTATCAGGCGCTCGTGATGGAACATTAAAAATATGGAATTTTAATACTGGTACTTGTTTACGAAACATGACACTTGAAACTCAATGGTATATATGTGCTTATTTTGTTATTTTCTATCTATTTCTATTTTTTTATCACATATCAGAATTAAAATACTTTCTAATAAGTATTAAATATTCCATTGATAAGATTTAAATATGTATTTCTTATAAATTTCTTTCATTATGCATAGCGAAATAACCAGTTTAGTTTGGCTGGAAAATCGAATTTTATGTAGTAGTTGGAATCGTCAAGTCGTAGAATTTGCAACTTCTGACGCATATGTATTTAGAAAAGATTGGGGGATAATCCATACTGATGATATTCTTTGTTCAGCCATGTGGTATTCTCAGGTATTGGCTACAGCAACTTTTAATGGAGAAATAATACTTTGGAGACTAGAAACAGGTCAACCATACCGAAAATATAAAGTTAATGAACCAATGTCAAGGTAAGATCTAAAATAAAACGTTAAAATAACATAAAAATTATAATTTTAGAAATAATTTACCATAAAAAGCAATTTTAACTAATCAGTAGGTTTTATTTATTTTTTTAATTATAAAGATTTAGGATAAGATACCATAAGGATGAAAAAACGTATGAAATAAAAAAACCTAAAGAAATTACAACAGTCACTTCCAAACAGAGGTAGTTTATACATTGCACTTGTGGTTTTGCATAAAAAATTTTTTTATAATAATAAATATTTATAGTCAACATGTGATGGTTTCTAAACATCAAGAATCTGCATTGAATATTACACGAATTGTTGCTGTTCGAGCTATGATATTTTTAAATGCCCGACCGGTTGGGCCTGATGTTGGAACATTGTTAGTGTCTCTTGATTCAGGATATATACAAGTATGGACTCATCATCCTGCTGGTGGATTTCTACAAGCTTTCTCAGTTATTCATTCTATACACGATTGTGCATTAGCATTAGCAACTGATCCCAAAAATCACTTTCTCGTAACGGGTAAAGAAAGTATATATCTAAATTGTATATATTTATTTATTGTAAAATTATTTTTTGTATATAAATACTGCAACAAAAAGTTTAATATAAAAGAAAAGATAAAAAATATTATTAAAGAATAAGTTCATTTAAAAAAATTTAGGCCATAATGCTGGATATATTAAAGTTTGGTATTTAGCAAATTATCTGTTGCCAAATCCTCCCAAGATATCTATGCCTCTTTTACGGTTGGAATTTCCATTTCTATGGAAAAAGAAAATTATTGGCAGAGCAAAAAGAGCAGTAAGAGATCAACCTTTACCGCTTTTACTTTCATCTATACATGGGCATTTAAAATCAATTACATCCGTTCAAATAATTCCAGATACGCATATTATTATTAGGTAATTAACATTAATATAGTACTTATTATTTTATGAATTATAAACCTACTTTATTACTATAATTATTATAATATAATGATTATTAATATAAAAATATATTACTTTTTGAATTTATCATTTCTTAATTTTTTTCTATAAAAACAATTATTTCCCTAATATATTTTATACAATTTATGCAATTCTTTTTGTTGATTTTAAGTGGTAGTACAGATCATTCTGTACGGTTGTGGACTTTTGGCGGTCGTTATATCTCAACCTTTGGAACTTTTAAGCCTTGGTCAACAATTTTACCAACAATCCCAACATATCAGTATTTTAAAGATTATAGATATCCACCGGATATTAAAAGAGTCGCTAGTTCTACTACACTGAAAGTAATTAATTTCACATGCAATAAATCAATTAAATTACGAAGAAAATTTGATTATTAAATTGAATTGTTATACAAACATAAAAAGATTTTCGAAGGAGATATCAGGCAAGAACCAGACCTTAAACGTGAGGAATTAAAAGAGATTTTGAAACCTGAGCGTATTATGATTAATGGGCAAAGGATTACTATTACTGTGATGGATAAATCAGTCTTAATAATCTTTGCAGATCAGCCAATTTTAGATACATCTTTACCACATGTAAACATTTTTATATCTAATGCTAGTTTATTGCAAATTTGTTAAAAACACGTGGTGCAATAAGAATATTATTACAGATACCTATATACACGCACTTAAAATTAAGACCTTTAGAAATCATTCGAACACCAAAATTACCAACACTTTTACAAGAACAAAAAGAGTTGATGTAAGTTTCATCAATTATTATTAATTACTGCTAATAATGTGATATTAATTATAATTTTCTAAAAACGAATTTGTGATTATGAAATCACTGCACGTACAAAGGAAGATAAAAGCAAACTATACATATTAACATCTTAATAATGTCATGCGTATTTTAATAAATTTTTTAAAAGAAAAGAAAGATACACAATAATGATGACAATGTCTAATAAAATTTACTTCTCATTAAAAAGTCGTACTAATATATTCATTATCGTTATTAATTAATCATTAATTATTATCAATTATTAATAACTAACTAAATTACGGGTCTTCTTTTTGCAACTAATGCAATAAGATACATATAAATAAGAAAAAATGATAAAATTTGATGAATATGGTAAAAATAACATATATTCATTGATTCGCTGATATATTAAAAATTCATGCATATTGTTTCAATGATAACTACAACGTAACATCATTTTGATGCAAAATATCGTGTAAAATCAAGTATTCTTAGACAATACGAAATCAACAACATATTTAATAAATTCAATATATCTTTTATTCGACTCCCATCATGGAAAAACGTGGTGGTGTTTTCCAGTTTGCACTGGATGTACGTTTTAATCTACTCTTATCTATACCTTGAAACATTTGAGTTAAATCTGGTGTGCATTTCTTGGTGTCAAAGAATTTATAAATTGCTTTCTCTGGAATGTATCGTTGCATGGCAAGTTGAACTTTGCGAACGTGTGCTAAAATTAATGGAAATTCAAGTATTCTAGACATTCTAATGTTTGTAAACTTATCAACAAAAGCATACTTACATTGTGCCCAATACGGAATTATATGTTTTGGTTTGGATTCATCATCTGATTCATCGTCATCAGGTTCACTATCCAAAACATAAGTGGTTGGACCATGATGTTTATTCCCATATTTTATCTAAAATATTAAATGAATAATAAGGTGTAGCAGTATATTTGCTTGTATTTGTAATTTTACCTGTGACATAAGCATCTGATGCTTAGCTTTCATTGCTTCAGCTGCAGCTTGTTGTTGGGCTCGTTGTTCAACTTCTTTTCGTTTTTCAGCTTCCTGTTCGCGACGTCTTTGTTCAGCTAATATACGTTCCGCTTCTTCTTGTTCTTGTAAACGTTGTAAACGTTGTTGCTCTTCTTGTTTCCTTCTCTCTTCCTTTTCCTACAAATTAATCCGACTGTAACTTAATTTTTTCCTAAACTACATAAAGATCAATTTCAATATTTATTTTTATACAGATTTATTTTATTTTAAAGTATTATTTTAAAGATTTATTTTATTTTAAAGTATTAATCATACCTGGGCACGTTGTAACTGAGCTAAACGTTTCTTTTCCATTTCTTCGCGTTGTTTTTCTTGCATTTGTTGTGCTAATCGTGCTTTTTCTTCTCTTTCTTTTTCAGCTCTTTGACGTTTTTCCATATCTTGTTTTTCTTTTGCTTCTCTAGCTAATTTATTTTTTAATTCTTTTTCTTGCCTTTTCCTTTGTGTAAAATTTTACATATTTTTCAGTAACATATCTATTAATTTAAAATTAAATAAAATATAGTATTTTGATTAATTCTACTCTACCTTCTTTTTTCTTCTGTTTGAAGCCTTAACGCCTCTTCTCGTTTTTTCCTCGCATCTTCATCATTCAACTTTTTTCTCTTTTCATCCATTTTATCCAGTGAATTACGTTTATTCATTAATTTTGTAGTTGGAATTAAAGATTCCATGGATGTAATGATATTTGAACGAGTGGCACTTAAAACTTTATTGTGCTAAAATTAAAATATTACTTTTCAAAAAATGTATAATACGAAATACTAATATTAGAAAAAAAATTAATTCTTACATTCACATTAATTTGATTTGCTGGAGTATGAGGAATACGATTAACAGACATTGGCAACTGAGTTTTTGTTTTACTTAATGGAGTCGTCTTCTGTTGTTTGCAATTTATTTTTTCAGAAATTATTTTATTAATCTTCTGTTCTGAATGTAACTTATTCTAAAAATAAAATTAGAAATATGATTAAATTTGTAATTTATAAAAAAACTCACAAATACTTTATTATTATAATAATTTTAACTACCTCTTTATCTTTATCGTTCATATCCTTAGTCTGTTTTGCTAATGAAATTTTCTTAGCTTTTGCAAGCGATTTCCTTGCTAATTTATGAGTAACGGCTTTCTCTGCCATATTTGCATTTTCTGAAGCTTCTCTCTCTGCACGTGCTTTAGCGCGTGTTTTTGTTCTAGTTATTCTAGTTGGTGCATCAATGTCCACAGTGAGTTTTGGAGTATTACCTGCCTGCTCAAATGCCTCGACTCTTTTTTTTACAGATTCCTTGGCATATGGACTGAATAAAGCATTTGGTTTATATATATTTTTTACTTCTTGGAATCCTGTAACTGTATTCATTTGCTTCAAAGTTGGTTTCGCTGGAGTATTAAGTATTTCATCCTCACTTGATGGCGAGGATCCAATTTGGCGTTTCATTCTTCGTTTTTTAATTTCTTGTTTCTTAATATTTTCCTTAGGCTTTATCACTTCAGGAGATGATTGGTCATCTGTAAATAATTCATCAAATTCTTTGTTCACCATTGCTTCTTTCAGTTGCTGCATTCTATCCTGTAAAATTATAATCGGATATGATTTTAAATTAGGTACTTTGGGAGATTTAAATTCAGTTTTTGACTCAGTTGTTTTTTGTTCATCACTCGTTTTTATGCTATCCAGCAATTTTTTATTAATTGTTACAGTTTCATTTAATTTTATTGCTGATAAAGGTTCTAAAACTACAGTAGCATTCATCATTTTGTGTGACAAAGTAGAATTTAGATTCATTGTAGAATTCATAATAGGAGTAGGTTTTCCAATTGCATCCTCATATATTGAAGGTTCTTCAATATCATTTCCTGTTGGTGCAATTACTGTGTCATCAATGATATTAGAGTTTTTATTCTTTATGTTTTCATTTTCTGATAAAGTTCTCTTTCTAATATTACTATGACTTCTTGTTGTCATTGAAGATCTTAATGATTCTATTTTTTCCTGTTGTGTTACATCGTTTACAGAAAGATGATTCTGTGAATTTGTATCTGTAATTTTCTTTGATATAGTTTCACTTAAAATATTTTCTTCTATTTTACTATGTTTTGTAGGAGCTTGCATGCTTTCTTCATCTGAGCTGTTTCTAGGACTTTTTTTCCTTTTAAATCTGCTTTCACGTTTGCTCTAAAAATTTAAAATGTATTTCATCATGAGACAATTTATATCTATATTAAACAATAAAATTCAATATATTAATGATGTGGGATTAGAGGTAAAATATAGGCAATATACAAACATTTCTATTATTATCTTCAGGAGTTGATGGTCTTCGTAATTTTGTAACAAGCAATAATGATTGCTGTTTTTTAATATTATCTGCAGCTTTCTTTGAAGCTTGTCTTCTAATTCGGCCAATTACTGTTTCATCTGCAGTCTTAGTTTGATCATGTGTTATGGTAGAATTTGATACTGTATTATCAATAATCATAACATCATTTTCTGGAATAGTTTCTATACGTTGAATGTCCTTTTTCCTTGGAACTTTTGGTGTTTTTGTAATTAAAGGTCCAGAAGCTGACTCTGGTATTTGAGAAATTAAACTATGTAAGTAATCTAAAGTATCTTCTAAATTGTCCTTAATAGATGTTTTAACTTCCAAAGAATAATTATGTATATTTAACATTTCCTTGGCAATTATTGCTTTAATCCTATCCTTTGATCTAGTACCCATATTTAAAATCTGTAAACAAATTGTTTAAGTATTTAAAACATACATTATACATTTCAAGAATTATATTATAATTATATGATAATTAAAATATATATAAACCTCTTTAATAATTTTGATTTTAATTTTATTAATATCTACAATCAAATTTGCAATTAATGTCAATGAATTATCTATTTATGTATCTATTATTATATTGAACAAGTATCAAAATACTATGAATAATATGAATTTAAATTATAATGAAAAATATATTTTAAAACAAATAAATTAAATAAATAACAAAATATTTATTAATACATCTACTTACCTCTTATGATTGCATAAAACTGAAAAATAGTAAATATAAACTTTTACAACTGAAATAAACAAACCACAGAAATCAATGTCTTCCAATGATAAAATGCATGGAAGACGAAAAAACTTCAACGATAACCTCCATTTCGCGTCACAGACGGGATTGTACAAGTTTTGCCCCTCAGAAAGACATAACGACTTTTCAGTTTAATTTGAATCACTGTATTTAGCGCCCCCTATTCTCCCGCGCCATTTTTCTCCAGAATACACATTCAACGTAATTTGATTGGTTAAAGAAGTATCAGTTGTATTCTCATTTAAAATAAAAGGGTTTAACTTTCACTGTAATAAATTTGCACTGTAAATAAATAAATTTTGTAGAATTTTGAACGCAATAAATTAATATAGTATTTTTTTTTAAATATATAACTTATTTTTAATTGTATGATTAACTTAAAATTAAACCATTCTACTTTATGTATATTTATTAATTTAGTGAGTAATATGGTATGTAATACTATATTTGGTCTTTATACATTTTGATACTTGTAAGTACAATACTGCTTTATCAAGTATCTAGCTATCTTTATTCCATATGATTTTTTAAGAATGAAGTAGAATTCTAATATAAGATATATCAATTATTTGAAAGACTATCTATATGCTACAATTTACTTCAGTATACATTTATAGAATTATATAATACTATGATAAAATGTAAATACTTATATTATACTTAACATAATTATTCCTTAATATACTTATAACTTGATTATTAGAATCAAGATCAATAACAAAGTTATAGATATAGTATATTTCAAGCAATACTAGTTGATAGACCAAACAATTGCAATTTATAAGTTTATATAACTTTTAATATTTAAGAAAATAGAGTTTATAAAATAGGAATTACAAACCTAGTTACATAAACATGATAAATATGT